AGGGGGTAACCTTGAGATGGACTAGCTAGCATCCCACTCAGGGGGAAGTAGTAATATTCCTTGTGGCTTCATGCTCTGAAAACTGGGATAAGCCGCACCTGGATGGGCCACTCGGCTCCAATACAAACCCTTTTAGTCTCTAAAGGGGTCAAAAGTTAATAGCTTGATTTGAATGTTGATATTCTAAAGTGCTCTTGCTGTGTCTCCACATGAAACCAAAGGACCCGAGTTTGTTCATCAGTAGAGAAATATTTTGCAGTGTGTGGGATGTATTTTTGTATGTTGAAGTATATGCTCTGTTCTTGGTTTCTATTAGGTGTAAGTCCCTCTAATCTCCAAGTTAATTTTCATCATTTTTGAGAAACTTTATTTCTGCTATTACATTAATTGTTCTGCTATAACTGTTGTTAGAGTATGCTCATCTATGATTGGAACTCTCGTAAACAATACAATGCTACAGGTATTACCATGGATTCACTTAAATTATAATTTGTTAACTGCATTTCTTCTGTAGTTTGATTTTTCCGAAGTGTAATGTGAATTGCTTACCTAACATCAGTTGTGATATAATCTTATGTGAATTGTGTATTGAATAGGTTATGGGTAAAAAAGACATTATGGCACCCACTGGTTCCTCCAGAAACTCTGCACTGAAGGGTAGGGGTTTGAACTTTGAATAACTCTTTACACCCTAATATCAGTATGCATAATCTCCATACTGTTCTCTATACATTTCCTAGGGTGCTGAATGGGAGAATATGTATAATAATCAATAGTTTCTTTTGTTGATTATCATTTCCTTCATTCATGTGACCCTATTATTTGAACTAAAATATATTTTCACAAAAAAACTACACCACAATTATTTGAACATACTGGGCTACAAAATACGAAAGTAGGAGTGAAAGCTAATTTTGGGTGGCTTGCTGCTGTTTGGCTGATGCATGCTGACATTAGCTCTTAAATACTTCATATAGAGACAGATCATTTGTAGTTGCAGAAAACAGTCGTGCTGTGAAGCTGAAATGTTAACAGTTTACTTCGCGAAATGAAATGTTAAGCAATGTTTCAAAAGTGTTGATTGTACATGCATCTTTTACTGCTGTAATAAACAACGGAGGTATCGGAAGAGGCACTAAGGAGAAAAATATGAGAAAATTCAGATTCCATCTTCAAAATTCGAGTGACTATCTCACTTTCCTAATCTGGTTGCAGATTCCCTACCAATCTAACTCTTTTTCAAAAGTTATTCGCAAATTTCATTCGACCACATCGCCTGACGAAGACTAGCAATAAGACAATGGAAAAGTCGCGATCTCAGTAAGTTGATAATGACTTCTTATCATCAGACAAACGATTCAAAGTTTATTTACTGTATCATAACCACGCTTTACAAACACGTCCATGGCAGAATGGAAATGAAAGTTCATTTTTCGCATGTTTTATGAAGGTCACACCTGGAAACTCAACTCCTTGAAGAATGATTTTCAAGGAATTTTTTTTTCATTTCTTCATTTCTTTATTTGATGTATTTGTTTATTTCATCTGAGTTCTGCTTAGTATTTTTATTACT